ACGGCCTCATGACAAATTTCCCCTCAAACATGACCCCCGCGCTTTGTCAAACCTTGGTCGAGCAACAGCAGCAAGAAACATAATCTTGGGTATAAAGCGCTTGCTTTTCCATGAGCGTGGCTGTGAATGCCTGCCAGGGACAAGGTAATGCTTGCAGCGGTCCTTGTCAGCATTAAACCACTTCTCATCCAGGTGGACGACGTCCCAATGTGGATCTAGATTTCGGGGGTCAGGAAAATGCACTGCGTTTGAACATGTTCACACTAGACGAGACAGGTTTCATGCGCGACGAGTGTCGTTGAAAGGTTCCTTTCTTGAGGTGGTGCACTGAGTGTACCCATGGAGACACCATTGGCAGCTGAGATGGCTCGCATGGTTGAGCTTCGGTCATTTGGTACCGCGCGTACAAGGTCCTGGATGTCGTCGGCGGTGTACAGCGGCTTCTTACCGAACTTACCTGCCTTCTTTGACTTGATGGTGCCACGGCTGCGAAACGTGCGTCACAATTGGCTAATGTTTGACGCGTGATGGTGAGCTTGAGCGCAACTCTGGTCATGGCGCCGTGCATTAACTTTCCCTTGTTGAAGAAGAGTTGCAGTTGACGGATTATTTCTACTTTCGTGGCAATGGAGAGCTCTCGAGGTGTGCGTGCGGGTTGATTCTCCATTGCGGTAATTTTGAAAATGTTTTAATTTGAGTAGATGTGTACTTTTATTTGACTGGTTGTTACGCGATGTCGATTATTTCGAGCGCGAAATTTCGGGTTTGGTGGTTGATGGCAAATTACTTCAACCTGTAGTTTTTTGGACTTTATAGAGACCCCGATGATTTTCTACATGACTTTTGGTCCGGATATGAACCCTGCAACCCCGAAACAAGTGTGAAGGCATTGGTTAACAGTAATGTGGGACAGAGGATGTGTTTTCAACAGACAAGTGTAGTCTTGGAAGACAAAATATGTTGAACGTCAGTGAACAATTGTTTATTGTGACATCGCGTTAGGTACGACCCAATAGGATTCCACAATGGACATGCTGAGGTTTCAATGCACATTGACTATACGGCATATCGTACACTGTACATCCACGGCATGGAATGAACCCTGTACCACACAGGCTTCGAGCGGGAGCTCTACTGCTTGAGTTATATTATTGTTTGTGATGTTGTTGTTTATTGAATTTTCCAACGTAGGACGGTTTGCATTACATAATAGTTTCTATTGTATTATTTTTGCGATATAGTTTCAAGGAGGGTACAGTGAGCAGCTTCATGCATTGATGTTAGCATATCCAATATAAATCGCGCATGATGTCGTGTACTAGGTCGTAGAAGTACTTGTCACCCATTGGCAAAAAACACTACAATTTCTACTTGCAGGTTGAATAGTGCGACAATATTAAAATAACGAAAATACGGAGAAGTACCACTGGGGACATTTTCCCGTCGTTCCCTATACCAGCGTCCCCGTCAGGTGAGCAACGCGTACCCCACGATCCCAAGCCTGATATATCGCTACCACCAAATGCAAGCGCACTTTGTAGTGAAGTTGATCGAGCAAGGTTGCTTGTAGGAGCTGAGGCCCAGGCCATGGCCCAGCTTAGGACAAGAATTCGGACGATGTACACACGATGAATCACCTTTTGACCACGATGGATACCTCCCGAGACTGTCGTCGCAGCCGCCCTCGACCACACGAGCGAGCGCGAAGAATCGACACTGCTAGAAGGATGTTGAGAGATTCATCACAATAAATATACATAACGGAAAAAACGACCCAAGGTGGTGCAAATTTAGTGAACTCAATAGTTTGTAACGACAAATCCGGACCCGTCGCACGCGCGAACCCCATACAGAGCATCCTGTCATTCAATTTGCTATGCACAAACCAGCCAAACTATAAAATGTTCTGCGCGATGGTATTGCACTCGTTGGCGGCATACAGCGCCGAACGAAACTGTTTAAAGTGCGCCGCATTTTACAAGAAATTAAAATGCACCAACTCACCCCTACATATAATGCGAAAACATTCCACATGCAGGCCAAAGGATGATCCCATCCTTTGGCCAAGTTGTATCCCACCAAAGTACACAGGCGCATGCATGTCCATAGATGGCGCCACGCATGTAGTTCCTTCCACCATAGTATACCACATCTTAGGGGTAGCGAGGCCGCACGCATGCGAAGCAACCGCCTTTCTTCGTCGAGCCCACCATCCTCGGCACTCCATTAGTTTTGCCCCCGCAAATAGTTATAAATATTTTTGCATATTCGAAATCCAAAGTAAGTTAATACGATCTATTGATTGCAAAAACAAGTCCCTTAAAATACATGTTACCTCGAGTTCCTTTTGGAAAGTACCACGAGCGCCAAAGGAACTCTTCCGAATATCAGTAGATAATCCAACATTAAATAGATTTTTTAGTTTACATTTTACATTACCTTTTGTTATAGTAGGTTTAGTATTATTACATTTAATATTATTACATGAAAATGGTTCAAATAATCCTTTAGTTTACATTTTACATTACCTATATATATATCCTTCAGGAATGAGGGCTGATTCGTGGACGCGCAATTTTCCTATAATGAAACTCATATGATATTATTGCGCGTCCAGCGACACCTTTCATATCCTCGACATTTCGCTAAAATATCTCCAAATTGGCTTGCGCGTCCACCCTCACAGCCCTGATTCCTAACTGGACGCGCAACAAAAATATCATTTTCACACATTTACAAATAATTCTTTCAACTTTCATCCAATTCTCTCAAAATCTTCTATTGGGGCGGCGCCCCAGAACGCGAAGCGCGCGCAGGCGTAAGACAAAAGAATCGAGTTCCGCACGTAGAACGTCCACACACAAAATCCAGGCTTGGAGGTAGGCCTGCAAGCGGGACTTTGTGCTGCCTCCTCTGCAAAGCGCAAGCGGTCATGCTGCCAACCGCCGCGGCCGCCTCCATGTGGACGCGAGCGCGCCAGAACACCAGCTTTGCCGCGGTCGCATCCACATGGACGCATTGGCAGCCTGCTGCGGTCGGACCAA